TTTATGTGGCACAGTGCTTCACTGGAGCTGTTCAAGGGGGAAATTGTCCATTCCATTATGAACCATCTATTTGGTTCAGGAGAGCAACAAAGGCAAATGACCACCTGTATTGAGAAGGTCCCTCATTTTTAAGGGAAGAAATGAAGCTTCTTCTTTTTCTGATTCCTTCAAAGAAACATTATTCTCCCTCTCTATCTCTAGGCAAATTCTGGCACTAATAAAACAAAAGCTTGTACACGCAGGTGATAATGAAGGTGCAGTATACAACTACCCCGGCCGCTGCAAAACATCAGCGGCGTTCAGTCTCCGTCATGCTAGATAACTACGCCCTTTAATTGCATGCTCTTATAAAACAGAGGCCTAAGGGTTTCGTCCGTACATTAATTCAAGGAACTCTCTCCCCATAGCTTCTATGGCGAAGTGTAATCATGACAGTTCAGGCAACTTGGGAACTAAAGGTAGCGCACGTGAATCATCCTGAAATACGTCCAGGTGGCTTCAAAAGTAATTTCTCTTCTTTATGGCCCACCACAAGTAAACAAAGCAAATAAAGCGGAGCCTCGCTGATATATTATTTCTAGTTTACCGTATACGAAACAATGTGCGATTAATATGCGTGTATCCAGACACTAATTGTCTCGCTCTGTTTTGAAAACTATGTGACTTGGGTAATTTAGAATGATAAAGGGCGCTATAGTTAACGTGATGAAAAGGCTTGAAGGCACAAAGAACATGGCTAGAAAGCCCATGTTTAGCCATTAATCATATGAAGTCTTAATGCCTGTAACGTTTTAGCTCTATTTAGCGGTTATTTTTTTTTTTTCGTTTAAAGTGTGAGAAAGGTTCGTAAATATGGTCAAAACTTTCGCCCCACCTTTTCTATGACGTGGAAGAAAGTACATTCCGCCAAATAACAACGTTGATTAACCTGCTCGAATCATTAGTTCAATATTCAAAAACAAAACAAACAATGACAGACATAAACAGCAAGTAATGCACCTTCGTCTGCAAAATTTTCAGTTGTCAAAGCGACTACCCCAAGCCTTATTCAAACCACGCGCGCAATAAACGATGATTGATTGATATGTGGGGTTTAACGTCCCAAAACCACTATATGATTATGAGAGACGCCGTAGTGGAGGGCTCCGGAAATTTAGACCACCTGGGGTCGCGCAATAAACGATAAAGAGGCTTCAAGCGTTTGAACATACTAGCGCGATCTGCCCGCCGGCAAGGACACTCTTTAAAGCCATAGGTTTGTACTGCTGCCCGGCAGATGGCGGTAGCATTCAAAAAGACGTTGAAGGTGCCTGGTTGTGTGACGGCCTAGAATATGTGCCGAGCCCACGCGATGTTGGCATTCGAGATAATTATTTTTCCGGCAGTTTTCTATTACTCTTTTATCATGATTACTAATTAGGAAAGGTCATGTTTGTTTTAATGATAAGAAGAAATGCTGCCAATAGGGCTGTCATATGAATCAGTAGTCGTATTTGCTGGAAAGGACTCGTTGTTCACAAACTGGCGGCGACTATACTTGTAGCAATAAATAAAACCATATTTCATCCTAAAAGAAAACTAATAATAAATGGCTGCTAATATATATATATATATATATATATATATATATATATATATATATATATATATATATATATATATATATATATATATATATATACACTGGTCTGTAAAATGGTCCGACCAGTGACCATCGGCACTTCTCGCTTTGCTTACTACACCAGCGGGTGCAGACATTTTGCACCCGATGTGTACTCTGATATAATGAAAATGGCTTCCCGCTTTTCTTTCTTATATTCCCCTCATTGTGCACTCATCTTTGTCTTTCTACATTTTCACGCACATTAAGAAACCGGAAACTTATCTATATTTAAAAAAAAACACCTCGCCGGTGTTTTGCTTGCTTTTTTTCTTTCTTTCTTGACCCAGCACGCCCTGTATTTATTAGATTCAAGCTCATTCGAAACCGCGAAAAGGAGCAAAAATGACTCATGGCAACTACAGATCACAGCGGCAGTGTAGTAACACAGAAGGGCTTGACAGTATAGATTACGCTGAGCCGTGAATTGGGAATTTGGCTAACGTGCATGCTTACGTTGGCATTGCTGCTTCCATGTTGCTGTCTATTCAGTAATTTGATATATATATATATATATATATATATATATATATATATATATATATATATATATATATATATATATATATATAAATTCTGTGGGTCCGGTGCAAATATAATTAGGAATAAAAGAGCACACTTACGAAAATTTGATAATTGTTTACTCTACGTTTCGGCCGTGGCAAGGCCTTCGTCAGGATTAACAGAAATACGAGTATGTGGCCGCTTTTATGGGCAGGCATGAACACGTCAGTACAAAACACGTGCGATCAGCATGTGAGTGTCACAAAAATTCTTTGAAACAGCCGTGACTACACTAAAAAAACCATTAAAAATGTAATACTATAGACAAGATTGTGGGCATGTAAAAGGAATTTGTAACATTCACCATTGACGACGAGGGTCACGCATGAAGATATATAAATAAATATGTGATAACCTTTAGGAAGTATATAATACGTCAGGGATGCTTCTTTAAATATTTGTCAAAATTTCGGATGTCAGGGCATCGTAGAAAGGCATGACACTTTGTCTACGCATTCGTTAATGCCGGATAACAGACTGTTGAACTTGTGAATCAAGAACGATTCTCGTATTTCGCGATCATGGTGCGATTTAAAACCCGATTCTAATAGTGTCACCATAATCTTGTCAACGAATGACCTGGTAGATGAAAATGCTTGGGCAATGGGATATGTGGCAAACTGTTTACGTGTGATTTGTGGTTGTTGAAACGGATGCGGAAATATGTCTCGGTTTGACCGATGTATTGCATGTGGCAGATTGAGCATTCAAGTAAGTAAATGATGTTGCTGCTATCGCAGTTTAAGTCCCCTTTAATCCTAAGTGAAAAGTTAGATGCCGTGTTTTAGCAACAGTCGCAGTGGTCATGTGCGCACAAACTTTATATCGCGTTTTTTTTACATGGGTGACAACCAACGGGAGCAATGAATCTAGTCTTGGAAGAAGTTACTTGATGTCCGATATACAACCCGCGGTGATTCAGTGAAGATGTCCTTAAGCCGATCGCTCTGTGTCAGTAAGTTGTAATGCTTTCTGAGTATATGGGACACGTCAGGAATAGATGCAGAATGAGTTAGAACGAGGTTGGTTCGGGAAGGTGGCGCTAATCGCTTGTCCTTACTGATGAGCTCTTTCCGGTCGAGACATTTGGCCCGTTGGAGAGCGTCGTCAATTATTTGTGAAGGATATTCTTGTTCGGTTAACGCTTTACGGAGCTGGTCACAGTTGCGAGTGAAATCCCTGTTGTCAGAACAAATTCTTTTAAAACGGATAGCTTGGCTATAGGGGATACTTGTTTTGCAGTGTTTGACATGGCTACTTTTAAAATGAAGATATCTTTGTCGGGCAGTGGGCTTCCTGTATAGGTTTGTCGTTAGTTTACCATTGCTTAAAGCTACATTGACGTCAAGGAAGTTTATGGTGACTGGTGAATAAGAGTGAGAAAAGGAGATGGATGGTTCTACTTTGTTGAAGTCTGCAATGAAAGAATGTAATGCCGCTTCACCATGGTGCCAAATTAAGAAAATGTCGTCAATGAAGCGTTTGTAATAAAGTGGTTTAAGGTCACGAGTGGCGAGAAAGTTATTTTCTAGAATGCCCATGAAGATGTTCGCATAATTGGGACCTATTTTTGTGCCAATCGAGGTGCCGCTTGTTTGAACATAATGTTCACCGTTAAATTCAAAGTTGTTAAGCTCGAGTATCAGTGATAAAATAGTGTCCAATGTGGAACGGTCGATGGGTTTGTCATTTCCGAGTCATTGTATGCTTGGAGTACAGAACTAATCCCGTCCGCATGGGGTATATTTGTGTACAGTGACACCACATCTAGTGTGACCAGAAGAGCCTCACTCGGAACACGCATATTTACAATGTCACGCAGAAAGTGATTAGTGTCCTTGACATACGAAGAAAAGTTAGGAAGAATTGAACTAATTAAGCTGTCTGCATATCGAGACAGGCTTTCCGCAATGGTTCCTATTCCTGAAATTATTCGCCGGCCTGGATTATTTTGTTTATGAATCTTAGGAAACAGATAAAATCTACCAGCTACCGGACTCAGGGGGACTAAGGATTTAGGCACAGTTTCTGGAATTTTATTTTTTCTTACAAGCTCTTTTAAAGTTTCTTTTACTTTGGTCTTGAAATCCTCGGTTGGGTCGTAGCTCAAATGTCTGTAAAATGTGCGGTCATTTAATTGCCTTTGGGCCTATAAGTTTGGGCCTAAGTGTGTATATATATATATATATATATATAATATATATATATATATATATATATATATATATATATATATATATATATATATATATATATATATATATATAACTTCTACGTGGACTAGTCTGCGTACCGTTGCTTTGTCACGTTGCCATTTACTATTTAAAATGTCATCAAAGTTGTGCTGAGACCAATCACTCTCCGTGCTCAAATTTCCTGTTTAAAATAATATTCGTGTTTTTACAGTTGTGTTCAAAGGCAAGGAGGATCACCTACCAGAATACTTGCTCCTGCTAATGTTACTCTTGATAGTTACATTTTTCAGACGACAAAAAAAGGAGGAGAGGTCAAGTATTGCTCTGTTCGGTGAGACCTGACTTGGTGCATGTATGACTTCCCTTAAAGGAGACGTGTGACTCTCTCGTGGGTTACACGACTCTATGGGGAGAGTGTAAGTATCTTCAAAAAGAGTTCACGTGTCCATTTAAAGAGAGTTATATTACGCGCCAAGAAGACTACCAGAAACAGTTAAATCAGTTTCTTTTCTTCTTTACGTATAGGTTCACACTATTTGCATGATAACGTGGTGAACTACGTCTCTACTTTTTTCGAACAGGGGTTGAGCACGAGAGTTCTACGGAGAAAAGCAACGGCAGCCAGCAGGGCCCTGAGAGCAAGGCTGACAAGACGGACGTGCCTTCGTCGTGGACGAACATGCCACCTCGCGAGGCAAAGGTGGCCACGACCACGGAGTCGGAAGACTCAACGCAGCAGGACTGCACTCAGCAGGAGTACGACTTCATGAAAGAGAACCTACTGCTCTACAACAACGCCAAGATGACGGATAACAAGAAGACAGGTGAGGGGACACACAGAGCACCGGGTTTCATTATTGCCGTGTGGCCGCCTTTTCATATTTTTTTCAATAGATCAGCTGTTTAAGCCGGCTCTAAAGACTTTGGTGTCCGCTGGAAACCGCACGTTCCTAGGCACCACGGGAATCGGGCAACCTTGCTACCGAGTGCAGCTGGTGCGAGCATTAAACGAAAACTTTTCTCGGCGAAGTGGAGCACGTGAGATACGTGAAAGATGGCGACAGAAAGAAAGTGATGAAAAGGAAGAGGGAAATATAGAGACAAAAAGAGAATGTGTCATTAAGAGAGCGAAATAAAGTGCAACAAATAAAGACAGAAAATGAAGCAGAAGGAGTATGAGAAAGAAAGTGAAGAAAGAGACCTAACCAGAAGATAGGCCATATAAAGAAAGTAATAGAAAAAAATACGAGGAAATTTGTACAAAAAATTAGATACGCGAAACGGCGAGAAAAAAAGAGAAGAAACGAAGAAAACATGGAGATAAATAAGGAAAGCCGGCCAGCTCTGCACTTCTTTCAGGCCTAGAACCACTGGTGCGAAGTTTTGCATTTTTTTTTTCTATAAGTGAAAATGTACCCTGAAAACAGGTACAAAGCATGACTTTTCATATTACTGGCGCGCACAGAAATTATTGCCAGTGATAAATTTTAAAATGAGAGCATTATCCGAAACAACATAAGAACAAAGAAGAAATAAAATGTGAAAAACTAAGAGAGAAAAACAGCAGTGAAATAAATTAACTTAAGAAACCTAACAGGGTAGTGATAGGCGCAGTTTGCATACAACAAAGCGCACGGTAAATTGAAAGATAACGAACGAGGAAAGGGCTCTCACAATGCGCGACACTATTAAAGGACTGCTAAGTTGAGAGGAAAATGTTGAGTGGGGACTATGAAAGACGTCAAGAAAATGAACACCATAAGGACTGCTTCCAGTGAATGCTTTAACGTCCAGTGAACGCTTGGCAATAGGCAGGTAGGTATGTACATGAAAAAATATATATGCTTTTTGGTTATATTATGCAAAATTTTAAAAACGATGAAGTTTAGCAGTTCAGGAAATGTTCAGGACTCGAGTGTTATACCGAGAAGCTCGAGAATGATCATCGACAGAGACGGAATGGTAGGAATAGCAGTCCAATAGCGTTAGAGCGGGATTCATGGACCTTTCGAGGGAGACGATTGTGATATAGCTTGGCAACTTTTTCTGGACTCGCCCAGGGGTATTACTGCTTGAATCAGAAATACCATTCACAAACGCATATTGAACTATGGGAAGACATATCTTGTTGCACAATTTGTAGAGGGGTATAAGGGAACTGCATCCCTGGATATTTTACTAACATAGCCGAGACAACAAAGACACCGCATAGTAACGCGCTTAGTGTGGGCAAAAGGCCGTAATGAAGAGAAAACTGGAATAATTGATTTCATGAACCCTTCATAATTACTCCGAATTGACAGAGCATCAAAATGACACGTTGGAAGTTTTGAGATTGAAACACGTTACTTAGGTCTTTGAATTATTAGGGATATGTTATGGCTCGTACACCATTCGGAAAGAAGAAAACAAATCAGACTGCACCTGGTGACGGTGATCCAAAAAATGAATTTCCTAAGATATCTTGGTGTCTTCAGCATATTAAGGAAGTAAGAAGAATGGCAGTAAAAACGTTGGTAAATAAAAATTAAAAACACCAGTGCCCCTAAAACGAAGCGTTGACAGACCCCGTTAGAGAACCTTGTACAAAGAAGGCATTCGTTCATTTACGGTAACATAACATGATCAATAAAGAAGATAACTGCGAAGAAGATTAACAACTGAAAGATCACTTCAGCGCAGTACATAAGGTTAACCATAGGAAGTGAGTGGCTTACTATATACGTCAAAAGCCTTGCTAAGGTTAGTGTCAACCTGCACTCACTGATAAAGAGGCGCGAATATCTGCGTCATGAAAGTAAGAAGATTACTGATAGCTGAGCTACCAGTGAGGCATGCATATATGCTGACTCAGAATAAATAAATTTCTCGCACCAAAAGTAAATTTATTCTGAGCAGCCAGCCCAAAAATATTTACTGCTTCAATAAGAATAGAACTCGGTAATACTTCGAGGCATCAGTTTTACAGCTAGTCTTAAAAACGGGATCACCGTGAGCAGTTTCCCACATTTTAGGGAATGTAGGAGTATTCGAATCGGTAGTTGTTAAATATTGTTGTGCGTATTATGACAAATATACGCT